GGGAAAGAAAAACCTTCTGAACTTGACTTGCGATTTCTGGTTTTCCAAGTAAGGAGCTTGAAGTTGCCACTTTGTCCTAACAACAAGTAAAGAGCTAAGCAGACTTGAAAATTCTACAACTCATTTTGCATCCATAAGAAAGGAGAGGATACACAGAAAATCACTGCCCCCAAGCCTGGAGGGACAGAAGGGCAAATACAGGGAGTCATGGTGTACAGAGTTGAAGCCAGGGCAGGGGTGGGAAAACGTCACCTGTGATCGATGAATTGCTGGGGGCTCAGTGTGAATAACTCTGGGAGTTAAGAACCATAAGGAGACCCACTCATATGGAGCCCCTCCACCCCCAATTTGAAATTTGCCTCCAGAAGCTGTACCAGATTTATACAGTAAATGGAGGAGAAAAATCCCTTTGGGCTTCCAGTAGGGTGAGAAGAAAAAGAACCATTCTGAAATACATCAGAGTTTACTGTTCTTAACAAGGCCTGCCCTCAGGGGAGAGTAGTTAACCAGAACTTAACTGACCCTGGGGAGCTCTAGCCCACTCTGGCCATCCTGTCCCATTTAAGAGAGAAGAAAAACTGAGAAACACTGGAGAAGTTCCCAGGCCAGAGGCACAGGCTCCCTAAAAGACTGAGACCTCATCACAGGACAATAGAATGCTTCCCCTCCCCAACGCCTCACCACCACGTGACCACAGGCCTATTTATAACAGTTCCTTTTATCATGTACATCATGTTTAACTATCAAGAAAGATTACAAGGCAGGCCAGTAGGCAAAAAACACAGGTTGAAGAGACAGAGTAAGTGTCAGAACCAGACGTGGCAGGGATGTGGGAATTTAAAAGAACTATGCTTAATATGCAATGGGCTGTATGGAAGAAGTAGAGAGACTGTAGGAATAGATGGGTAATGTAAGCAGAAAGATGGAAACCATAAGAAAGAGCCAAAAAGAAATGCTAGAGATCAAAACACTCTAACAGAAATGAAAAATGCCTTTGATGGACTTATTAGACTGGACATGGCTGAGGAAAGACTCTTTGAGCTAGAGGCTGTAGAAATAGAATCCCGAATAGAGTGGAATAGGATCCTCAAAAACTGGAAAGCAAAGAGAACAAAGAGTGAATAAAACAGAACAGAATATCCAAGGACTGTGGGGCAACTACAGCAGGTGTAACATATGCATAATCGGAACATCAGAAGGAGAAGAAAGAAAAGAACAGAAGAAATATTTGAAACAATAATGTCTGAGAATTTCCACAGTTAATGTTAGACACCAAACCACAGATCCAGGAAGCTCAGAGAACACCAAATAGGATGATTGTCCAAAAATGACCTCTAGGTACATTATTTGTAAACTACAGAGAATCAAAGATAAAGAAAAAATCTTGAAAGAAAAAATACACCTTACCTATAGAGGAGCAAAGATAAGTATTACATCCAGCCTCTCCTCAGAAACCAGGCAAGCAGAAGAAAGTAGAGTGAAATGTTTGTATTGAGAGAATAAAACCATCAACTTAGAATTCTGTACTCTCTGAAATTATCTTCAAAAGTAAAGGAGAAATAAAGACTTTCTCAGGTGAACGAAAACTGAAGCAATTTGTTGCCCATAGATCTGCCTTGTGAGAAATATTAAAAGAAATTCTATAGAGAGAAGAAAAATAAATATGGATCAGAACCTGCGATCTACTTAAGGAAAAGAAGAACATCAAAGAAGGAATAAGTCAAAGTAAAATAAAACATTTTTTCATATTCTTAATTGATCTAACAGATAACAGTTTGTTGAAAATGATACCAACAGTGTATTTGGTTATATATGCTTATGTTTATATCTTATGTATATATACATGTTTATTTATGCTTACATATAAGTGAGATGAATGACAACAATGATACAGGGATGGGAGGGAGGAGTTAGGATTATTTTGTTATTATAAGGTACTCACACTACCTGTGAAATGGTATAGTGTACTTTAACATAGACTTGGATTAGTTGTAAATGTGTACTGCAAACTCTAGGGCAACCACCAAAAAAAAAAAAAAAAAGAAGTAAAGCTGATGTGCTAAGAAAGGAGAGAAAATGGAGCATATAAAATGCTCAATTAAAACAATATAAGGCAGAAAAAGAGTAGAAGACAAGAATAGGAACAAAGAACAAGGGCAACAAATAAAAAACAGTAATGAATATGGTAGATATCAATCCAACTATATCAATAATCCCTTTGAATGTCAGTGGTGTAAATTTACCAATTAAAAGACATTGTCAGAGTAGATCAAAAAACATGGTCCAACTATATGTTGTCTACAAGAAACCCACTT